TTATTTGCAATCAATTTTTCGATGACCTCAAATGTGGCAGCATCTTGTTCCATCCTTTGCTCCCTTTCACGCTTTTCTAGTTCAAAGTGTTCACGGTCAAGGTGCAACTGTTCAACTTTAAGTTCCACTTCTCTTGCAATTTTTCCTTTCGCTATTTCCAAATACTCAGTAAAACTAGCCCGAGCTCCAGATTTCTTGGGACGTCAATTACCATCTTCCAGGTTCCCTGAAAGAGAATGTACAAAGCTATGTACATTAACACACAATCTGGGCATGAAATGAAAAAACAACTTCTATTCACTGCTCTGCACGTGTACACTAGAAGGTTGAAAAGTTCAGACCAGATAGGTCTACGGTAAAAAAAGGTTTCCTCCATTGTTGAAGCTGGCTCAAAATTCCAAGAAACTGAGCGATTTATAGCATATGCCCCCAAAGTTATTGGACAATATATATTGAAACAGTGATGTACCGGTATACGTTTTATATTCTATTTGAGCAATGTTACCTGGCTTTTCAGGGTCACCATAATTCTAGCTGCCTGTCTGGTGTCCTTTCCCTGTCCCTCCTTCTTCTCCTCTGCCTTCATCATCTTCCTTTCCTATTTCATCTTACTGAACTCTTGGAGCGATTCGTCCACTTCGCATATCGCAACTAACCTAACGTTATACTAGTCCCAAAGGCCACGCATGCTAAGTGCCGAATTCATGCCTTTATTATAAAAGACAAAGCTAATCTTTACGCATTCAATTCACACCTCTGGAGAATGACACCAAGAACAATATTTTCTGGGAATTTTTCTAATTGATAGTGTAACAGTTGACAAAAAAGTAAAACCGGTAACTGTTTTTGCACTTACGAGTATATCCGGCCGTATCCGTTTTTCATACTCAGGCAAAACATGCGTACTACGGATACACGTCTCGGAAGCACAAAAGGTGATGACGTATCTCTTCGCGTAACTGTATCCAAAACCCTCCGAAAAAGGCCAAAAAAAATATAAAAGTACCGCATGTGGTTTGACTGATATAGCACTCTAAGGAGGCACTTACCTTCATTACATTTTATCCAATGCCTCACTTTCCCTTCAATGTTCCTGTATCATTTGCATTTTTTAAAAATTGAATTATTACACATTTTTCAAGCTGAGCATCCAAAAAGATAATTAGTATTCAAAATTTAGTTTTGATTGGATGTACCATAGGTGTTAATTGGGCTTTATTCCTTTCATGTAACGTAATTCGTTAGGTGCACGAAAATCTTCCAATGCTTGATGATGAACTTGGATGCTGCGTTACATTCGTTCATGCTATTTCAAGGTGCTTATTTTTGTTCAGTATTACTGGGACGTGGAATTTAGAAGAAGTTGAAATAATGTGCGTGTCTGTGTGTGCAGTACCATTAATTGGACATTTTTACTACATGTATGAACTTGCCAGGTAAGTTTCAAATATACATGTCTTTAATCGCACGTTAACTTAAAAATGTCATATACTAAAGGAAACAGGCCATGTGGAGTGTCAAGTTTAGCAACCTATATCTGTATATTTATACTGGAGGCAATACTCAGGACCACTTGCTGTATGTTGCCAACTACATGTACCGGTACCAGCATTATGATACCCATCATACACAAACTGAAAATATATTACTGTAAATATGAATGATTTGAAAAGAGTGTCAATTTGTTAATTGCTGCGTGCTGCTTTTGGTGTGGCACGAATGTACTGGTAATCGTGTGTTTGTGTCTATAGGTGAAGAATATTGTGGCGAATGCAACTGACACCTCTTGTGGTGGACCCAGTAACCGGCCGGATCAGGGATGGAATTGACCTGGCCCAACCTCACAAATACATTTATTAACCTTGAGCAAGGATGAGCGGCTACCCTGACCCAAGGGGGGATATCGGTTAACGAACGGCGGACTAAGCCTAGGGGCAGTTCGTTGGTTGGAAGTTTACCACCAATTAGGAAAGACTGGATTTATCTGGCAATACAGTAATGAAACACAGGGAAACCTAAATAAACTTCACAGTTACACAGAATTTCTAAAGACAATAATCAAGTATTTAATTTATATAAATCACACAAGGTTTATGGACACAATACACCTCACATGGCAATACAATATGCCTCACGTGGTTAACTAACCACCCGACTAACTTAAACACAGCTAGTCTACAGCCCAAGGGTTACCTCACTAAATAGTGATAGCCCTCACACAAATAACACAGAGTGTCACGCAAAACAGGGTCGATCTAACGAAAGGGAAATTACCCTCACAGCGATATGAGTACATCAAGTAAACGTCAGGGCTAGCTAGCAAAATGACAAGATTGCCTTCTAGCCGTCACCCCACTATCAGTGCTTACAGACGACAAGCAATCCAACAGCAAAGACCACTAGCTCCTAGCCTAGGTTCACGACACTCAGCTCTATCACTAAAGTAATCTAGACACAATACGGTTCGCTACTAGACCTACCGGTTATAGTCACTACACGCAGCGCCCCTGGTGCAGCGTCCACGCTATGCCTCGCACAGTCACAGCACAGAACGGTAGAAAGCGTCCTCCACGATCCTGCCACTGTGCGACCCAGCAGCGAAACTTACTAACTGATTGTGCGCGCTCTAAGTACACCGCAAGCGCCCGGACCTAGTGCTCTACGCAACGCTGATTGGTCAA